ACAAGATAAATAGGGATCGTGAGTCAGTTATGATCGAGTCACTGAGTGCATACGAAGGGAGCCCCGCTTCACGATTCCTCCAGTAGTCACTTGCCGACAGAAGGCATCCCGACTTACCAAGATGCAAGCCGGGCACGCACATGATTCGCCGGGAGAAGTTCGCAGCAATTTTGGCGTAGTTCTTCTGATTGATTCCTGCCACTTCTGCCATGCACCGATGAAGTCTTTTGAACTCAGGTCCTACTGATGGGTCCTTGCAAATCATTCGGATCCTCGTGGGCCTTTCCGTCAGGTTAAAGTAATTTGTGCCAATCATTCAGATACCGTGAAAAAAAACGAGATAAGCCGTCAAAAATGAACGAATCCACTTTTTAAACATGAGATCTGACATACACTATAATATGGCACATGCGCACTGTACTACCTGTATGATTTTTCCCCAACAATTTACCCAAATCTCATTGGGATCATGGATCCTCTCAAGGAATCCATCAACGACCACTACCAGTTCACCAGCTCACTGGTCTGACTTCTTCAAATGCCTCCGCAGTCAGGTGACAAAAGCTGCAGCACCCAGCGATGTTGGTATAGCCACAGTAGAAATGTAACCACCCCAAATGCCGAAAAGCAACAAACGCTACGACAAATACTCGTCTCATTGGGGACAGGAATTATAAACGTCGGCTGTTGCAAGGAAAACTATAGGCAAACAAGTTGGATTTCCCTTGGACCAAAAGCCCCAGCCGCATGTCAAGCCATGCACATACAATGATCATCAATAATTAATCAATACAATCAACAAAAAGATTGACCACACAATTCTTGTGAAAACAGGTGGAATACTGTTGAATTGCAGCACAGAGTGACTAAAACCAATGGAATGATTTGGGATAAGGCATTTACTGGTTGTCCCTGGCCTAAAGCGAACCTATGAAAGAAACAACACGTGTATTATATATATATATATGCAAGACATAAAGCAAGACTGTTCAATTCAAGAATAAATGTTTGGGGTATTCATATGTTTTTTTCTGAAATTATATCCATCTGTTGATCCATCAATAAAGCTCCAACTCACCGTTGACTCCCGGGCAGATCGCCTACGAAGAAGCCAAGCAGACGCCTGGTCGAAGGATGGGCAAATTGCCGACGTTTGATGCAGATTTCCACAGGTTTTGCAGCAGGATCTGTGAAAGGTATCTTTGTGGACACAGCCGGGCTAACATGGGCTAACTATCATAGGTTGAAAAGGAGAGGGTATATCAAACTAGCTAAGTGTGTTTATAATCCAATAAATAACTGGTTCGCACCACTTTGCGGAAGTCTTACAGTATCTGGCATTTGTGCATAATTTTGTCTGGACACTTTACAGGAAACACATGGTGAAACTGCATGCAGAAGAAGAAAACGTCTGCGCAAACTCTGTGCTTGGCAATGCAACTCCTCCTGATGGGACAAGAACGGCAGATCCCCCTCTGCTCTCCGGTTGAAGCGTTTTGCAAGTTCCAAGACTTTTTTTCTTACATCCATGATTCTTGGTTTCTATAAATCTCCACACAATTTGACTAGCAGACTGTTTCCTTTGGAAACGCTTGTCTTGGGATTTTGCAAGTCTGGAAAACACTCATTTGTTCTGGTTCCTACCGTCCATTCCAAATTAGAGGCTCTGGAGTTTTGGGAAACAACCAGGTGGGGTGGTTGAGCCACCAAGAACATGGAAAATTGGTGGTCATCATCACAGAGATTGAAATTGATTGAACAAAATGGAAGAAACATATGACATGATGACATGATATGACTAAACACATAAAACCAACAACAAAAACATTGGTCATGAACATGTCATGACCATATTGCTATCTCCATGACTCCATGACTCTTCATTTCACATATTTCTGAAAACAGTTCCTATGAATTGCAACGTGCAACCAGTTGGCATCTCCTAGCTCCACTCCAGAATGGAGCTCCTCCGGTGTCATCAAACGAGAACATGTTTTGGTGATCTTCCCGGCTAGTTTGGGGATTTTCCAGCTAGCCATGTTTGATTTACCGGAGGCTAGCCAAGGGAATCTGGAATCCCAAACTCCAAACCTTTTCACTGAGTAAACGGGGTCCCAAAAATGGGGTACCCCTGATCAAATGGATGATCATTATGTTCCTATGTTCTTCGTAAAAAATGCATATTTGCGGGTGTGCCCGATTTTCAGACACACCCAAATCATAATATTGTTTGTTATATAAGTATATACCGCATTCATGTACCATGTATATCCCCAATTATATCTCATTAACTCCGTATTGCTAATGTTGAAATCACTATGATTCATTATTACTCCACATTAATTATTCCACTATATTCCAATGAATATCCCATGATGGCCTCAAATTCACATTTTCAGATACACCCAAAAGTCATCATTTCAACCATCCAAGAGACTCCAAGAAGAGCCACCACTCCGGTCAAAGCCAGGGCGGTTTTCACTTGTCCTGGAGGAAATTTTGGTGCAAAACCATTCCCCAGTAATGTGGATGTCCCGTTGGGAAAAATTAAACATCATCTTCAGAAAACCCAGGTATGTTAGCTGGTTGTAAATAAACAATTCATTCAACTGTAGGTATACATATATATATATATAAATGGTCCAGCATTCCAACCCGCCCGGCCATGGTCATGGGTCAGCCATAGTACTGTCCCCCTTCCCACCCGTGGTGTGGTGGGTGTGTGGTACTGTCCCCCTCCCTCCCTGTGGTGTGGTGGGGTGTGTGTGTTGCGGGGCGTGTGGTGCGGGGGGGGGTGGAGTGTATGTATGACCATCTATATGGCATGGTATGTAGTGGTATGTAATTATCTCATGTACGGTATGGTTGATATGTATGGTATGTTTGGCATGTATGGTTGGTATGGTATGTATGGTATGTTTGGAATGCATGGTATGTTTGGTATATATGGCAGGTATGGTATGCATGGCATGTATGGCATGTATGGCATGTATGGTTGGTGTTGTATTGATGGTAGGTGTGGTGTGTAATTATGTTGGGTATGATATGTTTGGTATGACGGTATGTATGGTGTGTACGGTCGGTCTGGTATGGCATGTATGGTTGGTATGGTATGTTCGGTATGCATTGTAGGTATGGTATGTATGGCATGAATGATTGGTATTGTATGGATGGTAGGTATGGTGTGTAAGTCTGTTGGGTATGGTATGTTTGATATGACATTATGTATGGTCTGTATGGTATGTATGGTTACTATGATGGGTATGGAATGTTTGTTATGTAAGGTATGTACGGTAGGTGTGGTAATTATGTTTCATATGTATGGTATGTGTGGTATGTATGATACTTGTGATAGGTATGGTATGTATGATCAAAGTTCGTATGGTATGTGTGGTATGTCTACCAGAGTAAGGCATGTATGGTTGGTATGGTATGTATGGTAGGTTTGGTAGGTTTTGGTATGTATGGTACAGTAGTTATGGTAGTAAGGGCCAGGGGGTGGGGCTGATGGTACAGACCGTCGTTAGATCGTATACGGGCAGTTCATAAGTACAATATAGAAGCATGCGCGTAGTAAGTCCCTAGTATGCAAGAAAGATATGTTAAACACATGTAGCGTTGTGAGAGTACACAGGTAGTAAATAGGAAGTAGATACATAGCACATGTATATATGACTATAGGTAGCACGTAGGTACTTTGGGGAAATATGTGTGCTAAGTAGGTCGTCTAAAAGGTAGCATGGACCTAGTAAATGCGAGGCTGGTAGTCAGAAATGCTGCAAAGAGCTAGCAAATACGAGGCTGGACCGCAGAAATGCCGCCAATAGCTTGAAAATAGAAGTGAAGGGGGTGCTACCTGGGGACCCATACCATTGTGGGGGGGTAGGAACACGGAACACGAGGCCTATATATATATATAAATAGGCATATCCTCCCACAAGTTCACCTAGTTCCCCTATGTAACCACCAAGTTACAGGGCGTTGGCCTTCGTGAATAAACAAACCACCCGAATTCTAAGTACAAGTCCAGCATGGTCCACCGATATTCAACGATATGTGTTTGGTTTTATCGTTGTCATAGTATCAATGACAATATTGTACATCATTTACTGTCAAACGCACAAATAATACGGAAACCATGTCTTAAAATTGCTAGTTCCACCCCACATGGGATTGTCAGAAAATGGTGTGTAGCAAAATCCAAGGGTTTGCAATTTGTTCATTGAAATTGCAACTTTGGCTATCCACCATTTTTGACGATATTTTGGACACACCCAACATCTTGGTAGTCTGAATACTTCGATTTGCACAAGGGTTAAAAAAAAAAGGCATCCCCAGTAGATCCCCCATGTCCGTGGGATTGACCCTTGGGGGAAAAACCTTCAAAATTTCAGGCACTACCAAGATTGGATAAGGGCAAAATGTGCATTTGAACCATATGAAAATCCCATTGCATATCCCCATATCATCTTAAAACCGTGAATTTCCCATTGATTTCCCATTAATTTCTCATTCATTTTCCCTTCAAGTCTGACGGCAGCGCATGCTCCAACTAGGCTTTGCCGCAGGCCCTGCCTCGTCGCTTCACCACAGTCTCATCACGCTGCATCACGCGATCCGCCGCCTTGCAGGCGCTTGCAAATTGGGTTGCAAATGGCTTCTTCATGCACTTTAAATGGTTGTAAATTGGGTTTGCAAATATATATATATAGTTGTTCACATATGGTTGCATATATATATATACATATATATATATATATACATATATATATATATACATATATATATATATATATACATATATATACATATATATATATACATATATATATATATACATATATATATATATATATTGCTCGGAATTGTTCCATCACTTCACTCGGCCCACTGTGGTCAAACAATGAAAAACATGCCAAATGATTTCCATGTCTGAGTGACTGTTTGTTGGTGAAGCAGCCATCACTTGCCAGTAAAACGAATGAGTCAACATCACCAGCAACAATCAACTATTGGCTAGAAACCGACCCAGAAACAAAGTAAAACGCACATCAACACTGCTTACCTGTGACTGAGTGGCTTGGGTATGATATATTATTTCTGGCCAAAAAAAACGCATACTGCACTACCAGTTGCTAGTTGTCTTGCCAGAAACTCCGTGGCCAATCGTAGATACCCCGCTTGTTTTTAAGTTTGCTGTTAAATTCCTATTTATCCGCTGTCCACTGCCTAGCTTTGGCCTGGGCGTGGCGGCGCCTGGGATCACCGCAGGTGTGCCACCTTGCAACTGGCTCTACCTTTGTCTGCTGCCAACTTTGTCAAGCCAAAGGCATCGCTGCAGCTTCAAAAGCTCCAAAATCTCCAAAGCCTTTGCCAGGTCCTATTTCCAGTCCCAACTCTTTGGTTCTACAAGGGCCGACCTGCCCAACTCTGCAGCTGCTCCTCAACGCCCTGCCCAGGAGGCCCACTTTTGGTTCTACAGGGGCCGACTGCCAAGGCTGAAGTTGCTCACGCAAGGCCTCAAGTAGGGCCAGGTTCTTCTCTTTTAGCGGTTCCGGACCTGCTCGTTGGGACTTTTGGTTCTACAGGGGCCGTCTTTTAAAGATTCCGGACCTGCTGGTTGGCACTTTTGGTTCTACAGGGGCCGACTGCCAAGGCATTTGTTGCTTATCGGAACCATGTTGAATACCACATAGATTCATACAATTTGATGCTGGTTTATATGTTTCTTGATATTTCTTGGAAATGTCCAAAATCCAATATTTTACAAAGTGCCTTACTTTCCAAAGAGACCTGTACTTTTTTTTCAAAACTCGGGTCTGACCTATTTCTGCAGGTTGTTTGGGTTCTAGGTATTTATATTATATATGACGCATTCCTTCTTCCCCCCTTGAAAGGGTGTCGGCGGCACCAGGGCGTTAGCCCTTTTATAAACAACAATTCAACATGTGGTTTAACATGGTTTGACCAAAGGAACACGCTTTAATGTCATATATATACTGAATATATACTGTATATATATACACATATACTGAATGTATACTGTGTATATATATATACTGTATATATATACTGTATATATATATATACTGTATATATATACTGTATATATATATACACTGTATGTATATATATATACACTGTATGTATACTGTATATATACTGTATATATACTGTATATATATACTGAATAATTACTGACTGTATATATATATACACTGTATGTATACTGTATATATCTATATATATATATACCGTGTATATATATATATATACTGTATATAGACTGTATATATACAGTATATATGTCTAATATTCCCATTCAACACAAAACATTACATATTACAACACAATCATCCCGTTGGTGCAGCTGGAATCATCACCTCGATGAAACTCGTTTCGAAGCTCTTGGGAGGCTTACCGCGCTGGGAACTTCGACATGGAGCGAGCTCCTGCGAGGTATGTTGCGCAGCTCGGAGAATGGGATGGATTTGTCATAAAGAAACAATGAAATTTCTCTTTGCGAGGCCCGAGTGGGTCTGAAAATGGAAGATACCTCAAAATTGCAATTTTAATGGACAAATACAGGAACATGATTTTCATGACGAGGTGTCAACTTTTGGGGTATTCTACTGTCAAACACATTTTGGAATTTCAGATGTTTTAATTTTCACCACCTGGAACCCACCATGTGATCTGGGGAAGTCATCTATTTCAGGCCACCACTACCGTGTAGGAAACGCTCACGAATTCCTGAACCCTCGCTGTTCGTAAGGGTTTTGAAAGTGTTTGATTCTCATAACAGGCCCGATACAGGCCCTGGCTTGATGTGTGGGAGTCAAAACACCTTCGGTGCTGGTTCGACACTCATCCCTAGGATGGGCTACACTGACTACGTCCGGCTGCAAACGCAAGACCGGAATGTCATCCATTGTGGCTTTCCGGAAAACTAGCAACAATCGAAACAAAGCTTCGGTTGCACAACTATGCAAGTCTTATGGACTATGTAAGTCCCATTTCAAAGATATCCATAGAAAGTGTCGATTTGGGCCAAACTTGTGAACCCCCAGCCCGCAGATTTTCCCAATGCCTTGTGTTTTTCCAAAACTGCGGTAACCACCAAAATGTTAGTCATATATATATATATATTATTATTATCATTATTATTATTATTACTATTATTATTATTACTATTATTATTATCATTGTTATTATAATTATAAATATTATATATATATATATTATTATATATATATATTATTATATATATATATTATATTATATAAATTAAATATTATATAAATAATTATTTCCATTTTAATGGGACAAATAATTATATTGATCAATGAACAAAATGTCAGACAGAGCCATGATAGCAGTCTTCAAAACCTCTTCCACATCTGATGAGACTGTTTGCTTAAAGTTGCATTTCCCAGTTCATGCATTGCGATAATCTGATAATCCCTTTAATTGCATAGTACAGTATAACATCCTATAAACATATTCTTTAATATATTAAAATCAATAATCCCTTCCACCCCCAGAAACCATGGTGGATGATGTAGACTATAAAAGCACATATCATATATGAATAAATAAATAAATAAATATATATATATATATATGAATAAATGTTACCATAGAATCAGAGTCTTTACATAATATGAACGGGGGGATGGGTTTTACCCTGGTTTACCCTTCAAAAACCCGTCCCAGGTCATGTGACCAGCCTTGATCAAGTACTGGCCATCCCCACCTCGGGACCATTGCTGTAACGTGTAAGCCACAAATAGCTGTTTGAAGAGGGACATGATGGGAACATCATGATTAGCCAACAGATAATGAGATATTGATATTAGCGTATACTGATAATGTAAAGTCGTATAAACATCTTATCATATCTTATCCACATGGTGTCTAAACATGGGGCAAAACTCTATATCATAATTTCGTGACATGCCCGGTGTGGATGGGAAAGATCTTGATCTCGAATGACTCGAATCCCTTGAAACTGGGGCATGTCATGAAAGCCTACCACGACTTTGCAGTCTGCCTCAACTCCTTCTGGACCTTGGGATCCCTTGCATATGTGTGTTTGCTCACTGTTGTGGAGGGATCGTCGACCCGTATATTCTTGGGAAAATGCCAACATGATCCAAAAACAACAAGTTGCAATGGAGGAAGGGACCCTCAGCTATAAGAATGTCTATAAACCCATCCAACTGAATATATAGCCACCATGAAGGCCGGATATGTGGAGGTTTTATCAAAATGGTGGTATTGAAAGCCATGGGTTGGGGGATCCTCTTTGGGAAACCTCCAGTCATAGACTAGCTTGCCAATCTTTAGGGGCCCCTTCCCAAAATCTTTCAAACTATGGAACACTTCTCCCGGGTCCAAGCGACACAGGGTGTAGCCCAAACGCCTGTAGTAGTTTCTCACACCTGGCAAACGAAAATGGGAGAATGTGAACCACTCGTGAACCACTCGCCTTAAAGGTGTTTCCACATTTTCAGACCAACCCATGCCCTATTTGAATGTAGTAAAATTGTGGATATTTGATGATATGGAGGTTTCTGAAATGGGGGTACCCCTATATCATCCATTTTAGTGTGACTTTCCATTATAAACCATCCATTTTGGGTACCACCATTTATGGAAACTGCATGGAAACCCCATATGTGTGGATGACCTCATGGCAAATTTGAGGTCAACGTGGAGATCCCAAAGGCTAGATGGTCCCTGAAAATTCAAGGTTTAACAAACATGCTGGAACCAGAAAATTGTGTCCGTATACATCAATCCACTTATATAAAGAAAGGTGTTTTCCCATTGATCTATATAGTTGATATATGTTTGTATCCGCTGATAATCAGACAAATTTTGCTGTTTCAATCCCCATTTTGAGTGGCTAACCCTCCATTTTGGACGGTGAAATCACCATTCAGAAC